CAGGGCACCAGAAAAGACCCACTTAAGCCACAAGGCCACCTGGACTTGCCGTTCGCTCCTCCACTGGATCAGCCTCCGCCTCCAGCACCAAAACCGTGCCTTTCTCCCCTTATTCTTAAAAGGACATCTCCGTTTGTTTTGATGAGAAGCTGGCCTGAGAGTTGTTCTTCCTGGCATCTCCTATTCTCTGGCCAAAGAATCACATTTCTTTCACTGCAAAGTTGGCTCAGTTTTGCTACTGGTTCCACAATTCTGAGAGGGAGAAAGAAGCACTGTAGGTCACAAATTGGTAACATGACCACCCTCAATTTTGCTTGTCCTGTCCTTCATGTAATTGGGTTCATGAGGCTAAAAACCAGGCCTACTGCACATCACATCCTGGAGACCAGCAGGGTGTCCTGTCTATTATGGGGCATGCCACAGTGWGGATCCCTTCCAGTCAATGAAGTCATACTACAGGGTTTTTTGCTGTTATAAACAAGGCTGCTATGAATGTTCTTCCTTATGGGTTGAATTGTGTCCTTCAAAAGCATGTTGAAGGGCTGGGATTGTGGCTCAGTGGTAGAGTACTCACCTAGCATGGGCGGGACCCGGGTTCGATCCTCAGCATCACATAAAAATAAAATGCATTTTGTTGTGTCCATCTACACCAAAAAATAAATATTAAAAAAAAGAAAAGAAAAAAAGTATGTTGAAGTTCTAACTCCCCTGAAACCTGTTGATAAATATGGTCCTATTTGGAAATATAGTCTTGGCAGATATTGCCACGTTAAGATGAGGTAATGCCAGAGCCAGACAGGCCCTGTCTGGAGACCGATGCCAGCTGACTCACTCTATGACATGCAGAGCAGCAGTTTCAGATGAAGCCTAACCCTGAACTACTACATTTTGTAAAGCAGTAGTTTGCCATGAGCTGCTCCATTTTGAGGAGCAGTGACAGGTGGAACAACTCTATACCTTGTTTGTACTAGTGCACAACCACCATCTGCCCAGCACAGCCCTAAGGCACAGATTGATAAATAATTTATTGGTATCAACTTATCATGGGGCACCTGGACACATGGACACCCCAAGCTATATCAGAAAACTGAAGTGGGAGCTTATCAGTCTCACCAGACGCAATCCCCTCCCTTGAGATCTGTAAATGGAGGAGCCCCCCACCCCTAGACTAACCCCATCACCTGGTCACTTGTCACAAATTTGGCCCAGGAAAATCCCTACAGTGAGCTTCAGTTCTGGTTCCTTTGGGCTTCAACACAGCACACTTTCTCCTGCCTGTGACAACCAGGCCCGGACCACCAGTGTCAGTTGGACACTGAGACTGAAACTGCAGTCAGACCCTCAACCTTGGCAACTCTGGGGAACTGGTTGGATAAAAACCTCAGTCCAGGGCTGTGGCTGTGGCTCAGTGGTAGAGGGCTTGCCTGGCAGGTAAGAGGTACTAGGTTCAATTCTCAGCACCAATAAAAACAAATAAAGATCCGTCGACAACTTAAAAAATACTTAAAAGCATCCTGTAATTGTGTGGTGCCTGGACCCTTTCAGACTTAGTCTGTGACATATATAAAAATGTGTGTGTGTGTGTGTGTGTGTGTGTGTTATAATTGTGTGAAATATAATGTGTGATTTGAGTGTTATTAGAAATTAGACTGGGGGGACTGGGGTTGTACCTCAGTGGTAGACCACTCGCCTAGCACATTCAAGGCCCTGGGTTCGATCCTCAACAACACATAAAAATAAATAAATAAAATAAAGGCATTGTGTCCAACTACAACTAAAAAATAAAATATTAAGAAAAAATTAGACTGGGGAACTGGGGTCATGGAACTGTGGTACAGGGCTCACCCAGCCCAAGTGAGGCACTGGGTTCGATCCTTAGCACCACATAAAAATGAAATAAAGGGAGGGCTGTGACTGTGGGTCGGTGATAGACTGCTTGCCTAGCATGTGTGAGTCACTGAGTTCAACCTCAGTACCACACACATAAGTAAATAAACAGATAAATAGTAAATAAAATGTATCATGTCCCTCTATAAGTAAAAAAAAATATTTTTTAAAAAAGAAATTAGATTGGAATGGAATAAAAGAACTTGAGTTTGCCTGGGTTATGACTATCTGGTGACCCTCAAGTATTGTTGAATTGCCACCACTGAAAGTGGTGTAGCTTGTGAATTCATTGTTATTCAACAAATTCTGACATTGTGGAAAAATGCAAATGGTTTTGGTTTCTGTTGGAGGCACAGCTTGCTCATGACATGTATGCATACAAGAAAAGGGAAATTTGGACACAGACTCAAAGGAGAAAGTACCACATGGAGAAGGAGCAGACTGAAGTAAGGCCAGGGGTCTTCCAGAGGCGGGAAGAGTCAGGGAAGGGTCCTGTAGGCTTCAGAGAACACACATCCCTGGGGCTGGGGATGTGGCTCAAGCGGTAGCCCGTTCGCCTGGCATGCGTGCGGCCCGGGTTCGATCCTCAGCACCACATACAAACAAAGATGTTGTGTCCGCTGAAAACTAAAAAAAAAAAAAAAAAAAAAAAAAAAACACATCCCTGCCAACACTTTAATCTCAGACTTCTAGCCCTGGAACCATTAAATCCATCTCTGTTGTGCCACCAACACTGCTATAGCAGCCCTAGAAATATTCATATATTTTATAAAACCTTTTGGTTTATAATTTTTTGTTTCTCATAGAGAAATACCTAGGATTGGGGACTGGAGCTGTGGCTCAGTGGTAGCGCACTTGCCTAGCATGTGTGAGKCACTCGGTTCGATTCTCAGCACCATGTATAAATAAATGAAATAAAGGTCCACCAAAAAAAAAAAAAAAAAACATTTAAGTCCTTTTCTGTGCAATTCAATATAAAAAAAAAAGAAATACCTAGGATTGCAATTTCTAGGTCCTAGAGTATCTGTATCTTTAAGTTTTTCTGTTGTTTTGCAGTACTGGGGATGAGTCARGGGCCTTGGGTATGCTAAGCAAGTGCTCTGCCACTGGAATGCATCCCCTAYCCTGTATGCTTAAATTAAAAGAAACTGCTAAGCAGTTTTTCAAACTAGTTGTCTAGTTTACACTTCCACAAACAGTAGATAGCTGATGCAATTACTGTACAAACTTTCCCAAATATGTGTAGTCAGTTCTATTTCAGCTCTGCTGAATGGTGAAATGATATCTCATTGTGGTTTTAATCTGTACTACCACACTACCAGTAGTGGCAATAATCCTTCATGTAGTTATTGTGTGTGTGTGTGTGTGTGTGTGTGTGTGTGTTTAATTCTAGTAAAATCTTTTTATTATTGATTTGCAAAAGTTCTTTATATATTCTGGGTATCAGGCCTTTGTCTGGCACGGGGCTCTGAATATTTCCCCACTGTATGGCTTTCCTGTTTTGTTTTTATTATTATTGAAATTGAAAGCCTTTTTTACTTAAAACTCACTAACAGGCATGGTGGCACACACCTGTAATCCTAGCTATTCAGGAGGCTGAGGCAGGAAGATCACAAGTTAAAGGCCAGCCTGGGCAACTTAATGAGAACCTGTCTAAAAATAAAACAAAAAGAGTCTAGCCAAGTATGGTGGTGCACACCTTTAATCCCAGCAATTTGAGAGGCTAAGGCAGGAGGATCACAGGTTCAAGGCCCAGGAAAATTGCCACAATGAGGAACCTCCCATTTCCTGTCCCCATGGGGTTTCAGCAGAGTGCAGCTTCCCCTGCCTGTGATGACAAGGCGTGGCCCGCTCCCACACCTAGAACTGACATCCTACGCCTATCTGGACCCTCGGTGTTGACAACTCTGCTGACTGGAACTGGTCATTACAGTCCTTACCTGACCAGTTCCAGTGACTCTTCGCATTCATCTCAGTGCTCTCGGCTCAGTATTCTGTAACCTTRCGGCTGCTTTCTTTCTGTGGCCCATTTATGTATCACTGTGTGAAGTGGGTGTGAAAGACCCCAGCCCAACAACCTCAGGCCTAGTTGCAAAACCACCGAGGCATGTCACAAACCTACGCAGGCACCAGGWGTGTTTTTCAGACAATCAGTTAGGTGTAACCGGTTGAGAAAGCACAAAGGACCAGGTCCCAGGGCACGCCTGAATAGGCAGGAACAGGAGGACCAGAGTGCTAATAATGTGTAGCTTTTATGTGKTTTTTCCAGTAATATAAAGTGAAAMACAACTTTGCCCTTTAGGTAACCTATACGCTGGATTTAAAATTAACCAATAAGAAACCTACTGCTTACCGTGGGAAAACTGCCCCTTTACCCTATAAAAATCTCTGTATCCCCAAGCCCGGTGTGCCAGTTCACCAAAGCTCCGGCTGAGGTTCTGCTGGGCACCCACAGGCGCCTGTGTCTCAATAAACACCTCTTGCTTTTGCAGCCAGTGTTTCGTGTGATTCTCCTTGGACAGGGAAACGGGGGTCTTTCATGTGTGCCTAGAGGATGGGAATAAAAGGACCCGTGACAGCCCGGCTGACAACTCAGCCACCAGACAACTCAGGAGCGCTCAGCGGACCTCCTCGGTGGCGGAGGGGGGCCTTCAGGTGGCGGAGGGGGGCCTTCAGCAGGTTCCGACGCTGCGGGGAGACGGCGGGCGGCCCGTGTCGAAGGCAGCTCGCCCAGGCGCTCGCACTCGGCCGGCGCTCCACCTCGGTGGGCAGCGGCGTCGCCCTCCTCTTCCGAAGGCTTCACGGGGCCCAGGCTCGCACAGCCCCACACGACGGAACTTCGGAAAACCAGAGTCAAGCACCTGAAGTGGACTCTGCGGGAGCCACGGCGTGCCTGAGAACCGCGCCGAGCAGCTCKCCCGGCTTCCCTCTCCCTACACCGCGGAAGGACCAGAGCAGCAGAAGGGAGCGAGCCCGCCRCTCCGACACGCTTTGCTGCCGGGCGGGCCATAGAGCCCCGCCCTCCGCTTTGCTAGAGCGGCCCGGAAGTGTCTCGCGCCCCCGTCCCCAGCCCTGGGTCGCGAACCATAGAGCCGAGTGCTCCGCTTTCCTAGAGAGGCCCGTGAGAGTCTGGGGCCACACGGAGGCCGCGCCCAGCTTCTGGCTTGCTGCTGCGGACGGCTCCAGGTGCGGGGGCGTGGGGACGCGGGGAGGGGGCACTGGGGCGACATCCCCGCGGTGGCGTCGCGAGCGGAGACCCGGCCCCTGGGTGTGGGAGATGGCCCTACGAGTTTGCCTTGAGCGCGGGCGGACAYGGCCGCGGGGTGCGAAAGGGCCGTTTATCCGGAAGAGGAGAGCCGGGCCTGGGCAGCGGCGGCGCGTCAGAGCCCAGCGGCCTCTGAATACTCCCTCTACCCAGCTTGTCGAGGTGGACCGTGCACTCTCCCTGGGGCAAATGTGTGGGCACGTCGCCAATGACGACGTTGTCGCCACTGTTTTTTCAGGTAGTGCCACAGCCCTCTTACGTGGTGCACTCTTCTACCTGGTCCTCCTGCAGGGGAGGCTGAGTGTAGCCCCTGTGCTCACGCGGCCCTTCTTAGTGGACAGGTTTAGACTCTAGTTTTTGGCTTGGGCAACTGCATTTGTAGGCTGGATTTCCTTTGTGAGGTGAAAATGATTAGCTCTTGCAGGGACGTTGTGAATACTCTGGGTTGAGTAGTGCGGGGTCCCAACTGCCGTGTCCTGTGCCTGCGGGTATTTCTCCTACCTAATATAATCTTGTATCTGTTAGCTTAGGATTTACATACGCTCTCTCTCTTTTTTTTTTTCTTGGTTCTCTTCCTTTTCACCCACTTCCCTACCAACTCCTGCTCAGACGTCACTTCCTCTGAGAAGCCTTCCCCTTTTATCAGGACCCATGTGGGCCTCTTTTCCACCTGCTCACGGGGTCATTTCCCTAGCCCCTTCACACCTACTGTCATTGATACTTCAAACCATCAGCATCCTAATGGTGGGGTCCACATGATCCTTAAGGTCCTAAGGATGTGGCAGTCACTGGCCTTCCCTCCCCCTTCCCTTCAGGGAACTGTGGCTGGGACCTCCCCTCTGGCTGATCAAGGAGGAGGAAGCAGTGATGTCTGCCTTAGGGACTGCAGCTCCATACCTGCATCATCCTGCTGACAGTCACAGTGGCCGGGTCAGTTTTCTGGGGCCCCAACTCCCTCCAGAGGTGGCAGCAATGGCCCGGTTTCTGGGAGACCTGGACAGGAGCACATTCAGAAAGTTGCTGAAGCTTGTGGTTAGCAGCTTGCAGGGGGAGGACTGCCGAGAGGCCATGCAGCGCCTGGGTGCCAGTTCCAGCCTGCCAGAGGAGCAGCTAGGTGCCCTACTTGCTGGCACACACACACTACTCCAGCAGGCTCTCCGGCTTCCCTCTCCCAGCCTGAAGCCTGATGCCTTCAAGGACCAACTCCAGGAGCTCGGCATCCCCCAAGACCTGGTTGGGGACTTGACCAGTGTGGTTTTTGGTGGCCAGCGCCCCCTCCTGGACTCTGTGGCCCAGCAGCAGGGTTCCTGGCTTCCCCACATTGCTGATTTTAGGTGGAGGGTGGATGTGGCAATTTCCACCAGTGCCCTGGCCCGCTCCCTGAAGCCAAGCATCTTGATGCAGCTGAAGCTTTCAGATGGGTCAGCATATCGCTTCGAGGTTCCCACAGCCAAGTTCCAGGAACTGCGGTACAGTGTGGCGCTGGTCCTGAAGGAGATGACAGATCTGGAGAGGAGGTGCGAGCGCAGACTGCAGGACTGAGCCTCCCTTGTCAGCACTGCAGCTGGTACCAGAATACAACTTGCATTTCCTCTAATTGGATGCTAGACTGCATGTCACCCCTTCCCCAGGTTTTTTTGTTTGTTTGTTTGTTTCTGAGTGTGGTAAATGACAGTCTGGGGTCCAAATCAGGGCCCTCTGAATATGCCTTTGCTCAGCCTGACCCCACTAAGCATCTGGGCCCTTTTTCTTGTTTGCTTTCATAAATGCTGTTTTTAGTGTGGGCACTTTTGTCTGTCTTTTTTTTTTTTTTTTTTTTTTTTAAGAGAGAGTGAGAGAGGGGGACAGAGAGAGAGAATTTTAACATTTATTTATTTTTTCTTAGTTCTTGGCGGACACAACTTCGTTTGTATGTGGTGCTGAGGATCGAACCCGGGCCGCACGCAGGCTAGGCGAGCGCGCTACCGCTTGAGCCACATCCCCAGCCCACTTTTGTCTGTCTTAAATCCCTGCCTTTGTGGGGCTGATATCGTTGTGGGTTGGGAAGAGGGGGAAACATTACAAAATGCATAGTAAACAGTGGGTACAGCTTATCAAGGGGTGACAAATGTGTACTTAGTTTTGTGCAAGGTGGGGTGTAGGGTGTGAGGGCATGCTTGCCCCTATAAGCTGTATCATGGCTGGGCTTCCTGGAGAACATGGTATCTGAGCAGACTTGAAGGACAGGAGTTGGGGGAATGAAGTCCACTGGGGGACCAGCTGGTGCACAGGTGATGGGTGGAGAGAGACCACATATATTGGATGTCATGTGCCTCCAGCCAAGTAGGAGGAGGTCATTGGAGGGAGGTAAAGCTGGGGAGGGTACACAGGTCAGGTCTGAGAAATTCTGCTCAAAGTATTGTGGTTGAAGTCTAAGCCAAAGGGGGAATCCTTGAGGGTTTTCAACAGAGGAAGGATGTACTCTGGTGGTTGTTTTAAAAGGATAACACTTCTATTATTTAAAAGGATAACATTATCCCAGGGGTGGTGGTAAATACGTGTAATCCCAGGCACTTGGGAGGCTGAGGCAGGAAATTTGCAAGTTCAAGGCCAGACTCAGCAACTTATTTAGACCTTTTCTCAAAATTAAAAATAAAAAGGATGGGGATGTAGCTTAGTGATAGAGTGCCCCTGGGTTCATGAAAATAAGTTCCATGAAAATAAGTAAGTAAAAGGATAATACTGCTCCTGTGTTTAGAGTAGTATGTAGGGGAACAGGGAGGAGGTTGAGAGTCCACTGTGAGGGGTGCTGTTGTAAGGTGGAGCTGCTGGATAGGGTAGGGGGCCTTTCTGAGTGCCTCCAGGGTAGCTATGTGGGGGGGGGGCACGGTGTATGGCTASCTTGTAGTTCTCAGAATAGCCATTCTCTGGCTAGGGGTCTTAGGGCTGTCAGACTATCTGCTTKAGGGGTCCCTGCTTCCTGCACTTTTTTAGTCTACATCTGGTTGGTTCTCTGCTGAAAAACCAGTTCATACATCTCATAGGATAATCAGGCCTAAGTGCAGGAACTTCTGAGAACAGCAAATAAACTTTGCTGTTCCAGGCCAGCCTGTTACCCACATAGGCTGTTTGAAAAATGCTTGGTTTCTGCCATCTCAGTGAACACCTTTTCTTCTCTTGAGTGAGAACTACAGCTGTGGCAACTTAGGTGTGGGCCACAGGGAAAGGAAAAGGCTGCCTTTTGAGGACAGAGGGCTGCCAAGGAGGCTGCTGTGTTTCTAGAGCTGGAGGATTCAGAGGCCTGGCTCAGCTAAGGGTGCAGAATGCCCCTGTGTCCTTCAGCCTCAGCTGGGTCCCCCAGGACCACTGGCCCACCTTAAAGGGAACAAGGAGATCCAGACCCGCARAAAAGGATGTACACAAGTAAGCAGAGTGGCCATGTCAACCTTATCCAGTGACAGAGCTTTTTATGTCACATACTTCTGATCTCAACTATTAGATGTTTTGGAGACTATGTACTCATGATACATTTGAAAACAAAATAGGAATGTAGAAACAAATTTTTTTTTTTAAAAGAGAGAGAGAGAGAGAGAATTTTTTTAGTATTTATTTTTTAGTATTCGGCGGACACAACATCTTTGTATGTGGTGCTGAGGATCGAACCCGGGCCGCACGCATGCCAGGTGAACGCGCTATGGCTTGAGCCACATCTCCAGCCCGAAACAAAAATTTTTTTTTTTTTTTTTTTTTTTTTTTTTAAAGAGAGAGTGAGAGGGGAGAGAGAGAGGGAGGGAGGAGAGAGAATTTTTAATATTTATTTTTTAATTCTCGGCGGACACAACATCTTTGTTGGTATGTGGTGCTGAGGATCGAACCCGGGCCGCACGCATGCCAGGCGAGCGCGCTACCGCTTGAGCCACATCCCCAGCCCCGAAACAAAAATTTTTTAATTAAGTCCCTCCATACAGTGGCACTGAGGCCAGAGGATCCCATGTTTGAAGCCAGCCTGGCAACCTAGTGAGACCCTGCATCAAAATAAAATTTTWAAAATGGCTGGGAATGTAGTTCAGTGGTGGAGTGTGCCTGGGTTCAGTACCCAGTACTGGAAAGAAAAAAAAAAAAGTCCCTTTGCCCACATGTAAAGCATCTTGACACTGCTATGAGTCTATCTAACCGTCCACATGGCTCTGTGGTAAAGTTCAATCCCCAGTACTAAAAAACAAAAACAAAAAGAACAGAGAAAGAAAAGGTGCCAGGCAAAGCAGTCAGAGTGAATTCTAGGCACACTACTTCTGGACTTCTAACATGAGCCCAAACACATCGGCTTCACTTGCTTTATCTTTTCAAGCTTTTTCACGAAAACAAACTTACAGCCCTTACCTCCGCTGGCCAGGGCTCTAGGCACACACTGAAAGGGCAGAGGCAGAGGCAGAGGAGTCAGGGGAGCAGGAAATACCATGTTCCACCTCACAGAGGGGCTTTGGTGTACCCTGCAGAGAACTGACCCTTCACTTAGCAGTCTTCTGTCTGCTTCTTAAGGAGGGAGAGAAACTGTTAAGGAAAACTGTATTCAGGATGTAATGCTTTGTAAGGTCAACTACCCAGGACCACCTCAGAAGGCAGAGAGATGGCAGCCCAGGCACATGGGGACATATAGGCCATGAAGCTGGTGGGGGAGTGGATGGATAAGAAAACTTGAGTTTAAGGGGACTTCTGGTGAAACTGACCTATTAGGGTTCTTGTTAAAATGGGACAGTGCATAAAAGAACATGGAAGCTGGAAAGTTGTTGTGGTGAGCAAGCTATGCCATTAACACAGACTGCTCATATTTGTAAATTCTACAATATCAGAATTTGTTGAATAAATTCACAGGCTACATCAGTTTTTCATCACCTTTAATTTACTGATACTTATGGTGTGACTGTGGTAATCACAAATTATTCTGTTCCAATTTTAATTACTAATATCGTTAACACCAAAGTGGATTTATAAGTTACAGAACTGTTAGGGAAGGGCTAACCATGGCCTCGGAGTTTGTTTATTGCAGTGCTGGGGATGGAACCAAGAGCCTTGTGCTTGCCCGGTAAGCGCTCTCTACCCATGAGCTATATCTACAATCAATCCTTTTTTATTTTAAGACTTGTCTAAATTGGCTAGGCTATTCTTAACTTGCAATCTTCCTGCATCAGCCTCCCCAATCGTGCGCTTTTTTTAACATTTTTGGTTATTAATACAATGCCTTTATTTTATCTAATTTTATATGGTGTCAAGAGTCTAACCCAGGGGCTGGGGATGTGGCTCAAGCGGTAGCGCGCTCGCCTGGCATGCGTGCGGCCCGGGTTGGATACTCAGCACCACATACAAAGATGTTGTGTCCGCGGAAAACTAAAAATAAATAAATAAATATTTAAAAAAAAAAAAAAAAAGAGTCTAACCCAGGGTCTCGAACGTGCTAGGCGAGCGCTCTACCGCTGAACCACAACCCCAGCCCCGGCCCTGCCGTCTTTTTGTAAGGTTTATTTTTTGCAGCACTGGAAATGGGTCCCCAAAATCCAGGCCAGCGCTGCACACTGAGCCGCAGCACACCCCCAGGTTGTGCATAGCCAATTTGGGGCGTCAAGCTCATCCCTTAGCTTCATCTTATTTTTACTTCCCTGTAACTATCTCCTCCATTTTACCAAGTGCTACATTGAACTAACCTATTGACACTGTCGGGAGACTGCGGAGATGAAGCACCTTTAGCGCGGAGCCCGGGGGCTGAAGCCAGGTGGGCCAGGACCGCCCTTCCCCTCCCGCAGTCCGCGGACCACCGATGGCTTGGCTCCCTGGAGTCCTAGACCAGCCCCGGAAATGCGCGGGGCGGCGCTTCACCCCGTTTCCGGCTCGGTCTCCAGGGAAGGGCTGCCTGCGCATGCGCAGCTAGTTCGTCTCGCCCCCAGGCCCCGACTCCGGCTGGTCGGCGCACTATGCTGCTGCTAGCTGCCAAGCTCGGTCTTGGGGCCCGACGCTTCCTGAAAGCCGGCACCGAGGTGAGGCTCTTCGTGGCTCCTCCCGCAGTGCAGGTAGCCGGCGGCGGCCGGGCCGGCAGCTGAGAGGGTGTCACACGAGAAGCCACGCACTAAGCGAACGAGTTCGATGATTGCTGGACGCGCCGGCAGGCAGGTTCCGGCCGAGGGCTCTAGTGATGCTGGGGACACTGGGGGAGGGGGCACAGGCGGCTCTCAGAGCCTGTCTGGGGCGCGCGCCCGCGACCGACCACCCGAGAGGCGGGCGGAGGCTGCGGGGAGTACCAGGCCTTGCGGGCGGGGGTGAGGCCGGGGCGTCAGTCCACGCTGGGGCTGGGCCCTCGAAGCTCGCCCGCGCCGCGCCGCCCCGGGTAGCGGGAGGCCTCAGGGCGCGGCACGCCAGCCTCAGGCCCGAGATTGGACGGCCGGAGMTGCAGCTCCCGCCCCGCCGGCCCTCCTGCACACTGGCGGGAGCGGTCCTAGGGTGTGGAGAGGGTCCACGCTGGCCCCAGGAGGCCTCTGCGAGAATGCAGGCTGCCTCCTTCCTCTGGTCGCGTCTCCGCTGTTCTTGCCGAACACGCCCAAGTCTCCTGAGGGAGGGCTGGGTGGCCGCAGACCGTGGCGCCCCCTGGTTTCTCTCGGATTCCGTGGCGGTCGCGTCGGGGGATGGCAGCCGAGTCCGGCCGGGAGACTTGACGTTCCTCCCCGCCATCCGCAGTGGGAAGCCGTCTCCGAACCTGTGAGCTCTGAGGTGGGGGAAGCCGAAGAGTTGATAATGTGGACCCACGTCCTTCCGCAGGGGTCGTGGCTCTGAGCTTAGCGGGTCCTGGCTCCGTGGTCCCCGGGCGCGATGCCGCTGACTTTCCAGGACGTGGCAGTGTACTTCTCCCCAGCGGAGGGGCAGCAGCTGGGGCCCCAGCAGCGGGCGCTGTACCGGGATGTGATGCTGGAGAACTACGGGAACGTGGCCTCCCTAGGTGAGAACTGCATCTCCCTCTGGCTTCTGGAGCGGGGGTGGGGCAGGGGGAGGGGGTGCCTCTCTAAGGGGCTCTTGGGCTGCTTTGGCTTTTTGGATCCCAAAAAGAAGGTCCTGCCCTCATCCCCGGGTACCAGTCTGATCTCTGCTGAAGGAAGACTGGCCGTGAGAGAGCCTTGCTGCCCAACTCGAGGGACTTCGCTCCCTTTGCCAGTGGCCCAGTGGTGGTGTTCCTCCCCCGCCGCCCACAGGAGAACAGGATGAATTCTTCCTAAAACAAAACAAAACAAACAAACAAAAAAACAACACTTAAGCCCCTGGCTTTCCCTGACCAAGCATGGCAGCAAGCAGGCACTTCTCACCTGGCTTGGGAGACCCGGTGGGCAGAGGCCGCACAGGCTCACCCAGGTTTTCACCCTCAACAGGATTCCCTGTCCCTAAGCCAGAGCTGATCTCCCAGCTGGAGCAAGGCGAGGAGCTGTGGGTCATGGATCTTCTGGGGGCTGAAGAATCAGAGGTCTTGAGAAACTGCCGAACAGGTGAGAATGGGCGGGAGGCTAATCCTAGGAACCCCCCTCCCAGTAATACCCTCATTGCAGCAGTGAGGGCGGTTGGGTTGTTGTGCTTAGTCCATCCTCTCCAAGAGCAGATGCAGTCACCACAGACATGTGGCATGTGCTCCTTGTTTACAAGGGCTTCCCTTACTGCTCCATTTGCTTTACTCTAGAAAATGTATGCAGTGCCCAGTGCCCGTTGTACGCGTTTTGTGGCACCTTCATTCTCTTCTTTACATAGTACTCTTTCTTGCTGGCTTTCTTTTGACAGTAACTATGGGTTGCCTGTCATGTCCTTTTCTTCTTCACCTTTTCTTTCCTCTACCTCAGTTTGGTCAGTAGTATTCTCTCTCTTTCCTTCTTGAGGTCTGTGTCCTCATGTGCACATGCTTTTGCTCTCTCACTATCAGTGTGTTGTGGGCTGGTCTTGAATTTATGGACTCAAGCTTCCTACTGCTTCAACTCCTGAGTGAAATCACAGTTCCTGAGTCAATAGTATTTTTTTATTTTTTTGGTACAGGAGATTGAATCCAGGGGCACGCAACCACCAAATCACATCTCCCCATCCTATTTTGTATTTTATTTAGAGACAGGGTCTCACTGAGTTGTTTAGTGCCTCACTTTTGCTGAGGCTGGCTTTGAACTCACAATCCTCCTGCCTTGGCCTCCTGAACCACTAGGATTACAGGCATGAGCCACCGTGCCCAGCAATAATATTTTTTTAAATGTGTTCTTTTTTCTGTTGGATCTAGCTTCTCTACCTCAGCTACTGAGGCTTGTTCTGCTTTCTACCTTTTTCTCCTCCTTCCTCTCATTTTTTTTATTATTTTATTGCTCTACACTGTCAGAGCATGTAATTCCTTTACCCTTTACTATTACTCCTAGCCCCACCTTTGATGTTGTTGTTTTTTGCTGTTAAGTATATAATTTTTTTTACCTTTTAGTTAATTGTTGAACCTTTTACCAGAAATTTCTGCATCATTTCTCTGTTGGCTAGAGCTTGTCTTCCAGTTACTCAGAAAGACTCTTGTAAATAATATGCCCCAAGTTTATGGCTGTAGTTGCATTTTGGAAAATTTTAATGTTATATTTTTGTCATCATTTAGTCCAAGATATTATGTTTTGTGATTTCTTTGACCCAATGATTAGTTGGATGTGTGTTACTTTTCAAAACAGTTGGTACTTTCCTATTTCTT